AGGCTTGAACCTCACACAGGAAATTCAACAGTGAATTTTGAAACAAATACTAAGCCAGTACTCAGAAGACTCAGTTGCTCTAGAGGAGACTTGAGAAAGAGAACATGCTAATACACGGTACAAGCTCAACCTGGACACAGTCATTCTTTAATACAGAATTTAAAAAAAATACTGAAATACAGAATACAAGGCTTTATGTAAACGTGCAAATATAGTATCTTTAGCTATCAGTGTTTTGGTTTATCAGACAGTTAGCAAATATATTTGTGATGTTTTGTTGTTAACAACTTTGCAAATCATCACAGAAGCCAAATCATACACACAATACCTAACTTTGAAATGATAAATAGACACACTTGGAGTGAAAAAGACACTATGTTCCTTCTGGGAGTTTTCAAAGGTTTGTACTAATTTAAATCATTCTAGAAACTCTGAGATTAAAAGATAAGAAACAGCCAGGCTCCTGGCTAACACAAGACTAAAACTAACTTTCTAAAACTTCTTGCAAGTGCTTTCAGAGCCACTGAGTAACTGAAGTCCTCTCTTCCTGCACTGCTTCCTAGCTACCCTCTTACCACCTTCATCCGCCCACTTCCACCCACCCAGAACTCATTTTCTCAAACACAGGCCATTCTCATGCTCAAATACCACAGTTCCTCTCCCCCTTGATGACAGGTTAAAAGACTCAAAACTCCAAGAGTTTATGAACAAAACTCTTGGGTTATTAAAAAATATCTTTTGATTTGCCTAAAACATTAAAGTAACTCTACATTCTCCAGAGTTATGTACACAATTAGTACTTTTAAATGTTTTTAATTACAAAATAAATTTTTCATGTCAGCTTTCCAAGTTAACAAGCAAAATCAATGTGCTAAGAAATTTTACCACATTTTTCTGATTGCTTCCCATCTTCCCTAGCACATGGCTGAGAAACCCAATTTTAGATATGCTAACATTTACCTACACACTAACTACACCTCGGAGCACTTGATAATCTGGACCCAACCTTTTCTCCTTTACTCTACACACACTCGAGGCAGTTAACTTCCTCCTTATTCTCATATTTGCCTCCTCTTGGAAGGCCCTTCCATTCACCTCTACATGAAGTATATTATATATACCTGGGGCTACCACAAATTCTACAGAAGCCTCTTCCTTTTCCCAACAGTTTGCACTCCATTATTATGCTAATCAAAGTTGGCCTCCAGTTGTTCAGATTTATAAGCATATACAACACATAGTCATAAAGCATCCATTGTCTTATATTTTGTATGAAAGTAATGCTCTGACAGATTTAGTCAAGATCTAAAAAGACTGATGCATAGGAAGCAGTTAGCACTTTACAGGCACCTAGTAATAGTTTAGTTCATGCACCTGTTATTCCCCAACCAGTGCTAGCCTGGGTTCCCAGTGAGCAGACACAGTTCCTAACTTGGTCCAAACTCTAATGAATATCAAAAGTAGCTTATTTTAAACATTATTGGTTAATAATTTTAATTCACTTAATCAGTCTATACTTTACTGCATGCATAAATATGTATCTCCAAGCATAATTCCGAAAGTATTCACATATTAACAATGACTACCCCAATATCCAAAATAGTAGATAGTTACTCATGAGTCTAAATTAACTAAAAACATTAGCATTAACCCCACCCACAAATTAAGTCACCAGCAATTATCTATCTCTGTTTATTCTTTTTATATAAAAATAAGCTTTTTTTTTTTTTTTTTGGTTTTTGGTTTTTGAAGAAAGGGTTTCTCTGTGTAGCCCTGGCCTTCCTGGAACTTCCTCTTTAGACCAGACTGGACTCAACTCAAAGATTCTCTTACCTCTGCCTCCTCCCAAGGGCTGGGATTAAAGGCTTGCACCACCGCCACCACCACCCAGCCCAAGCAGAAGCTAAATCTTAAACCCTTATTTCCAACTGGCATTTATGAGATCTTCAACAGTGACCAATGGGATTCCTGAGAGTCTTAAACAAGGAACGAGATGTTTCTAAACAAGGTATAACTAATTTTAAACATGCAGAATAGATGAAAGTCAAATAGAGATAAGCAGGTCCGGTGGCTGGTAATACAATGTAAGCACAGCAATGGCCAAAGACTGGAGATGAAAAAGAAGCAGCAGAAGGGCATCGAAGAAGGCTCATGGAAAACACACTCTGTGTCACAATGTAAACACTAGCACAGGCCAGCCTAGTGAAGAGCATGACTCAACGGGCATACATACAGCACACCCCAGCCAACCAGTCACTCAAATATGGCATTCATAAAGTAGTGTCTACTGGAGAAGTCTTGGGAATGCAAGATGAGGGACAATTAAAAGCTTGAATTAATATTTTTCCAATGGTAACCTGAAAAAATTCTCATCTGAATTAGTGGAAGCCCCGCAGCATGGGTGTTTTTAACACTTCTGGATAAAGTGGCCCTTCGAAATGGTATTATACTTTCAACTGAGAATATTTTAAGGTTTTGTTGAGATTTTAATACGTCTAAAGAAAATATCCTAAAGTTTTCATTTTATACTAATAATATATCAAATCAGTGAAGTGATAAATAAAAATCTTATGATAAAAATCTTTAAACACTAAAGAATGTTACTCTAAAGCCAGGTGGCAGTAGCATAAGCCTTTTATCCCAGCACTCGGGAGGCAGAGACAGACATATCTCTGTGAGTTCGAGGCCAGCCTGGTCTACAGAGCAAGATCCAGGACAAGCACCAAAACTACACAGAGAAACTCTGTCTCAAAAAAACAAAATAAAAAAGAATGTTAAGAGCATTTTAAAGCTAATGGTTGTTTTAAAATTCTGAAACACTTAGCTCTGTGCGTGTGTGAGAAAAAATAGTGTTAAATTATTCTATATATTTTCCCAAATTGTGCTTTGTATACATACACATACATATATACGTGGGGGGGGGGCTTACTTTTACCCTTCCAAGATTTCTCAGAATCCATTATTTCAATATTTTGATCTCAACCACTCCCCACTAAGGTCAATCCATTGATATTATATGTGTTAAACAAAAGTACTGATTTAGAATATAATCTGTCAGCTTCAAATCATCAATCCTTAATCTGAATTAGATTTCAATCATTTGAATTACTTTTTTAACTAAATATATATGTGTGTATGCACACATACAATTTAAAATTTTTCCATGTGATATTATAAATATTGGTTCTACCTTATTAAAACACTTAAGACAATGGATCTATTTATTTTTATGGTGTCACTGTCTATCTCTGCAAGAATACTTTTCTTGCTCCAAGCAAAGAGCAAGCCAGATTGAAAAGACAATTTAATCTTAAAATACACTAACATAAAACCTTTGTAAGGTAAGCTTCGATGAAAAGGTGTCTTTTAGACTGCATTAATGAGCCAAATTTCTAAGACGTTTCTAGCGGTTGAGTATTAAAAATACTAATCTGGAGAAGAAAACAGAAAGTGGTCTGGCTGTCAATTTACGAAGTACCGACAGTGAAGTGACAGCTTTAACTGGGAACCACTGAGAAAAATTCTCTCACAATTCTTTCAATGGTTTTCAAATTTCAAAATCCACATAAAATGTAGTTCTCTTACAACTGATGCTCTTATCTTTACCTATCCATGTACAGAGTCTAGAACATAACCGGGCAGTACCTTGGGTTTGTCTGTGGCTCCACTTCCTGAAGTGTAAAATATCACCATCAATTTATGTTCCAGGCTTAATATAACAAGTAGAACCATAAAAGAGAACTGCCCTCAAAACAACTGCCATAACTATATTCTAATTTCACAAATGGTTTTCAATATACATTCCCAAAACGCCAGCCCTACTGACTATATTTATATAAACTTATTAAAATTACTATGATTCAACCTGGATACTGTGCAGTCTTATAAACTGAAACTTTAAATGGAAATGTTTAACTTTTTAAAAATAATACTAGAACAAAAGGAAAAAAACTTGAGGTCCACAGAAATAATTCCAAGGTTAACATAATTGCAGTAAACTTAGTTAAAAGCACTACCACACAAATTCATTTTGTGTGATAAGTCTGATTTTTTTCCCCACTAAGAATCACTTTGTCTTTTCCACTGTGCCACAAGTAACTTCAGAGAAAATTACAAGGGTTTCAGCTTATTAAAATTCCATCTGCACTTATTTTCTTGATACAATGTTCTCAGCATAACATACTTGTTAAAATAGTCAACAAACGCCAGAATTCTAGATCACTGCCTTTCTGCCAATTACATTCGATAAGGCATTATGCAATTATCTACTAATCAAACATTTCTTTTAAAAAAAAAAAATCTACACTCCTATAGCTTAGAAGCCAAAGCAATTCTGTGCCATTCCCACGGGAGGCAACAGGCCCTCAACCACAGTCCTACTTAACTAGTTTATCACTGCCGCCTTCTACACTTGCCACATTTTTATTAGAAAATAACTATCCGAGCATGACACTACCCAGTCTACCCCTCCCTCACAGTATTATATACCTAAAGATGATCGTTCTATAATCGTTTCTCCAAGCGATGGGTCCCCTGTGTCAGCTGAACAGGCTCTGCTAAGTTTTTGAGTACCTTAAATAAGCTGATCATTATGTTCTACACCCTACAACTCCCACATTGCCTGACAACATCCTTCTTCTCTCTACAACAGGAAATAGCCTGTCACAGAACTAAAGAAAGGCTGCTTCCATCTAAAGTCTCCTGAACACTTCCCAGAGCAGCTGTTAGGGACTAACTACCAGGCGCCTCTTGGGCTATCACAGTAGTTAAATTAATAGTGGGTCATCTTCTTCCTCTTTAATCTTGCTATTCCTCCAGAAAATCTAGAGATCTACCTTAAAAAATAAACACAGGAGGAAGAAAAAGAAAGTTACTCTAGCTCCACCACTTTGCCCCAGGAAATCATTTCAGGACCTTTACATCACTGCTTAAACCACACCAGATCAGTTATATAAGACAATGAAGGCTTTAAAAGCATACAGTTTTCTACTTCACCTTACCAAACATATTTGCAAGTTTTCAGTAAGCGCTAGAACGTTCTGATGTAAAAGGTGCTGGTGCACTCCATCAGAACTATGCTGCCCAAACCCACGTCACAAATCGCCTGCACTTGGTAAATTTTAGGTGTGTTTCTGGTTTACCTGCTGCGCCTTCTGCACCCTTTCTCACCCAGTGATGCTCTCAAACGGCATACACTTTCCATCCCTCAAAACCGTCTCGTAGCCCACAAAAAAACACACACCAGACTTTCACGTTTCTTCATAACCACTAATGCCACTAGGTGCTGTGGCTCTCAAAGAATCTCCTCAGCAGCTTCCCCTGGGACAAGGCGCTCGGGAGCCCGGCTCGCAATCGGTAAGACGCTGCCAGCTGCCTTTGCAAAAAGGCAGCAGAGGCCGACTCCATACCGCATTGCCGCCGGGGCTGCTGCTACCGCCTACTTTCTCCGGCAGCTTTAGGAAGAGGGGAAATGAGCGCAGTCCCCTCCAGACCCCAGGGGCCCCTTGGGCAGCACGAAAGAGAAACCAGTGCATCGCTCAGCGGGGAAGCTCGCGGGAAACCCACTAACAGGGCGGAGAAGCCGCAGTCGAGGCGCCAGTCGGGTGGACACGGAAAGCGTCCCAAGTGCGACGGCCGGCGCCAAGGCAACCGCGGGGCGCCCTCTCGGGGGAGATGGGGTCCGGCCGGGGGGGATCCC